CTTGTAACGCGTGGGGCCCACGCGAATTCATTTTTTCTGTTTTGCTTACGTGGCCTACTTGGAGGCCCGAATAAAAGCACTTTCTATTGGATACGAACTCGCGGGTCTTTTACTAGTTTTTTCTGACCCCCTCTGATTCCCGCTCCCGACAGAGCAGCCGGAAGGGCGATTACTACGGACGAGTGCATTAGCACTGGCGCCCCATTAAAGAAATCGTCCGTGGGTGTGAGCATCGGTGCGTGGAGGGCCGTTTTCCCTAACTGCCCCCACTCCAGGGAACCCCCTTCGGGTTTTCCCCCACCGATCCGTCACAGTACATACGAATCATTGATGTGCGATAACTTTACAAATACCTTAAATACTTTGAAATTTGAAAACTTGATTAATCCAATCTAATGGAACAGTTCCATGAGCACATTGTTTGAAAACTGTCAAGATTATACTGTTTAACCAAGAAAAGTCCAAAATATCAAAATTCCCTTTCTTGTGTAACGAAACTTCCATTTGTGAATCTTATTTCCTTTGTCTTACATCCTTTTGCATGTGTACTAAATATGTTACTTTATACTAAGCAATATGCATGATTTGACAGATTATCAACAAGAAACGATAGATTATCAGCGGTTAATAGTGAAATATTGTACAAATACAAAACTGAAAAAATGTGTAAGCAGCTATATTATTGTCTATCAAATGACAACCGTTTCCCTTTCTATAAGTGTTATAAACTAATCTATTTGTTCAGTCATAAATTCCACATATAAGCGCCTATTCGATTGTGAAATTCTACTTTCAAGTTATTTTCTGATTATCTTTAAATTCTCATTTCTTGTCAATACCACAATTTATTATTTTCTTCAAACATTTGTAAAATTAAGAGTTAAAAGCATCTTACAAGGAAACATATCGAACCGCGACACACCGATTTTAATGAAACTTATGTGAAAGATAGTTCTCAAAAAAATATTTGACACGTATTTTTTTTTATCGGCAATCGTTCACATTGAAGGGGTGAAAATAGCCCTCGAAGTTGGGGGTTGAAACCATGTTTTTGGGAATATCTCCGGAACAAAAGAAGATAATTGAATTCTTTTTTTTGTAAATTGTTCGTCTTTAGATAGGAAATTTTTGTGCGTAAAAAAGTTTCAATAAACTTTATTTGTTTAAATAATATTT